GCAAGAGTTCTGCCACTGAACTGTATTCTCAGACTTCGTTTCTTTTTTAAAAAAAATATTTTATTTTATTTTTTTATTTTATGTGTATGTGTGTATTGCCTGCACATAGGTAAGTGCACCTGTGTTGTGCAATACCCGTGGAGGACAGAAGAGGCTGTCAGATTCCCTGGAACTGGAGTTATGGACAGTTGTTAGCTGCCATGTGGGTACTGGGATTTCAACCCAGGTCTGCTGCAAGAACAACCAGTGTTCTAACCTCTGAGCCATCTCTCCAGCCCCTAGACTTCGTTTCTTTAAAAAAAAATTAAATTCATTTGCTTATTTTTATTTTATGTGTATGAGTGAGTGTTTTACCTGTAGGTATGTAAGTGCAACCACATGTGCAATGCCCGTGGTGGCCAGAAAAGGGCATTGGATCCCCTGGAACTGGAGTTAAAGATGGTTGCTAGCTGTCATGTGGGTGTTGGGAGCTAAACCTGGGTCCTCTGCAAGAGCAGCCATTGCTCTTAACTGTTGAACTACCTCTCCAGCCCGTTTCTTTTTTTTTAAAAAAAGACTACTGGCTGAGTATTTTAAAAAATGTATCAAGGATACATTTTTTGGAATGTATTGTTGGGAGTTATCTTCATTGTGAGAACATCACAGTGTGCTCACACTAAGATGCCTCTGTGACATCATGGATGATGTAATCTTACACCTTCATCATATATGTGGTCTGTTGACCAAAACAGTATGTGACAGATGACTATATATTACTGAATTAATTTTAGGTTTAAGACACTCTGGAGAAGCTCCTTAAGTAAACCTTCATTATAAACAGTGAGCTTGGAGCTGGAGAGATGGGTCAGTAATTAAGAGCACTAGCTGCTCTTGCAGAGGACTCAGGTTTGGTTCACAGCACCCACATGGCAGCTAACAATTGTCCATAACTCCAGTTCCAGGGGATCTGATCCCCTCTGTGGGCATTGCATGCATGTAGTATGCTTACATACATGCAGACAGAACACTCATATACATAAAATAAAAATAAATAATTTAAAATTTATAAAAAGAAATAGCTTTTGGAAAACAAAAAGCAAACAATAGGGGCTGGAGCAGTGGCTCAGTGGTTAGGTACTGGCTGTTCTTGCAGAGGTCCCAGGTTTGATTCCCGGCACCCACATGGCAACTAACAACCATCTGTAACTCGAGCTTCAGGGGAATCCAACTCTCTCTTCTGACCTCTGAGGGCATTGCATGGTATGGGTGCTATTACATACATGAAGGCAATATACTCATACACAGAAAATAGAAATAATAAATAAAATATTTTTTAAAACTTAAAAAATCAAGCAGTAACAACAAAATGAGTTTTGTATAGTTATAGACAATTAGGAGAAAAACAAAGATATTTTCTTCAAGGCTCAAATACATAGTTTGAAAATTCCTGCATAGTTTATTAATAATAAGGATAATAATAATTAGGATAATAACTAATTCCTGGATAGCTCAATATTTATACCTATATCGAAGGTGAGTCCAAGCCTATATTACAATTGCCATGATAATTGAGACTTGCTTGGTCATTTCACTGTAACATGTGATTGGTGTATCCTGGTGTTCATCCGCAAACTTGGTTGCCAAAGAGCTCTCACCAAGGCTATTTACTTGTTTATGTGGCCTTGAGTTGAGCATTGTCTACAGTTTCTATATTCGTCACAGAAATCTTTCAAGCTGCTAATCCATTTAGTGAGGATGATTTTAGTAAAAGAGGCTTTAGCAGTAGATGTCACAGAGCTGCTAGGAGCTGATGTTTGCTCCAGTAGAGCTTGCAGGCCTGTGTTCCTTGTCCAACTCTCTTAGGTTCTGCCGTCTCTCACACCACCTTCTGCCGCTTAAAGGACTCTGAGGGCTCCAACTCTTAGACAGAGGCCAGACCAAGGTCCAGGATCATTCTACAAATAGAATAGTAGGGAAGTTGACACTGTCATTTTAAAACATTAAAATGACATACAGTTTAACTTTTCCCTCCAATCATCTCAGCAGATCCTTGAGGTAGGTTTGTCTCACTTTGGAGAACAGCAGCTTAGAAAAATGACCTTAACTTCCTCGCTGAGCTTTGGGTTCTTTAATAGGGAAGATGGGCATCAGACTATTTAATTGGGAAATGAGATAATGTAGGGTCTGGCACATGAACAATGCTTACTGTAATCTCAGCTTCAATAGATCAATGTCCATGAAATTTAAAGAAAGTTTTGTTTTAAAAAATACCGAAATGAGGGTCTTGTACTATTGCCCAGGCTGCATGAACTGTTGGGCTCCAATGATGTCTTGCCTCAGCTTCCTGAGTAGCTAGCACTGTACCTGGCTGAAAGCTGTTTTTATTTGTGAGACAGGGTCTTACTAAATTGACCAGTCTAGTCTTGAACCTGCTCTATAGCCTAGGCAGGCTTTGAATTTGGCAATCCTCCTACCTCATTCTCCTGAGTAGCTGGCATGGTACATCTATGCCATCAGGCCTAGCTGAAAGGTGTTTTTACACCAACTTGGTTCTGATTGTTATGATGACTCATTTATTATTATTATTATTTTTTAATTTCATTTTTATTTTATGTGTATGCGTGTATTGCCTGCATATAGGTAAGTGCACCTGTGTTGTGCAGTGCCCACGGAGGTCAGAAGAGGCTGTCGGATCCCCTGGGACTGGAGTTATGGACAATTGTTAGTTGCCAAATTGGGTGCCGGGTGTGGGTCTTTTGCAAGAACAACCAGTGTTCTTAACCACTGAGCCATCTCTCCAGCCCCAATGACTCATTTTTAAAAAAGCTGTGTGTGTATGTGTGTGTGTGTGTGTGTGTGTGTGTGTGTGTGTTAAGTATAATGGTGTGCATGTGGAGGTCTGAGGCCAACCTTGGTTGTTAGTCCTCGCTTTCCACCTTGTTTTAAGATGGTCTCATTTTTTTCCTCTGATGAAAATGTCAGGGTAGCTGGCCCTTGAGCTCTGGGGATTCTCCTTTTTCTGCCTCCTGCACACTACCTTGTTGTGTTTTGCAGGGTTCTGGGGATTCAAACTCAGGTCCTCAGGCTTGCATGGCAAGTACCTTACCCACTAAGATGATAGCTCATTTGAACTGTTAGAGAGCAGAGCATGATACAAAGAGGTTGGAGTGTTCCTGCTTGTGCATTTGTCAGGAACCAGGAGAAAGCAGAAAGTGTTGTCTTGTTTCTGTTCTTCCCCTCCTCCTTTCCATTGATAAGTGATGACAATAGGTTGCAACCTCATTCTGACCAGATTTATGATGGTAGAGTGAAGCAGGTGACTTGGGAATGAAAAACAAAACAAAACAAAACAAAACCGACCTCGGAAATGGCAATGGCACTTGGAGTTGCTGGCTTAGCTGTCCTTGGGAGGTCCAGTCTGAGGGATAGGCTATTCTGAACCAGCAGCGTTACGGGAGCTTGACCTCTAATGGAAATGCAAAGCCCATGTGAGGGGGACCCACTCACCTTCCTAAAAAAGTAACCCTCAGAATTGATTTTGTTTTTAATCATCTATGCATTTTAGTCTCCTATTTAAGAAATATTTGCCAAAACCAAGGTCATAACATTTTCTCCTATGCTTTCTTAGACTCACCAAAATAGGAGCTCAAAGGCTCCAAACAGAAATGACAAGGAAAGGGAAATACTAATTACACTGATTTGATAAGTGCAGGCTGTGTGTGTGTATTGAAATACTACATTGTACCCCATTAATGTGTATGATTATTATATGTTAATAAAAAATATACCAAGCCAAAAGAAACAAAGTAGTTTAAATAATTGCATTTCAGTTTGCCATGCATTTTGGGTTAGAGTATCTATTCTTTTTAAAAAATGTGTATGAGTGTATTGCCTATATATGTGTAAGTGCACCTGTGTCATGCAATGCCCAAAGAGGTCAGAAGAGGGCATCGGATCCCCTGGAGCTGGTTGTTACCCACCATGTGGATGCTGGGAATCAAACCCAGGTCCTTGGCAAGAGCAGTCATCTCTCCAGTCCTAGAGTATGCATTTTTTCTAGAGCTCATTAAACTCTTCCTTTTCTGTTATTTTATCATCTCTTAAGATACTAATTTGCCACTTGAAGTTTTCATCTAATTTTCACTGTCCTTGTATTCACTCACTCTTTCATTCATTCAAAGCTGCAAATGTAAAGGGGAGAAGTTTTGATGCTGTTTTTTATTGAGGTGGGCACAAAGAAGACCTCAGAGTTTAAAGGAACCATGTCATTTGCTCTATGGATGTGCTAATCTGTGGACTGGGTAGCTGTGCCAAATTGCATTGGTACTTCGTCAACAGAAGACCCGTCTTCCTCACCTGTTGCCTCTGCCTATACCAAGTTTGAGGGGTAGTTTCTTTGCCATAGATTGAAAAGACGGTGTAACATGGTACAACTATCTGTGAACTCATCTGTTGGGATGGCAGTGGTTCTGATTGTGGGCAGTCTGAGACATTGGTTCAACCAGTGGAGGTCTTTGTGCCAACTTTCTTCACATACATTGTCATGAGAGATGGCTATTATCTCTGTAGCATGGGAATTATGCTCCATATTTTGCACAGCTGAGGCCCAAGGAGGTTAACACCACATAGTTAGCACTGGCTGCGGGAACCCAAAGACCAAACTCAATGTCTGTCTGTGGTCTCTGGTCTCTGCATTTAGAGAAATGATGCCACACCTCCCATGGGTTGGGAAAATATTGTTAGGCCACTGTCAGTATGTGGTTTCCCCTCTGAAGCCCCTGTTGGCCCTGAGAGAATTATAGGCCATTCTGACTGTGTCTGACCGTGACCAGCACTTCGTGGTTTCTGTGCTATACAGGCATCAGGTTAACCAAAATCAGGTTGTTGTGTGTAGCCCTGTTATCTTACACATTTCTAAAGGGGAAGTCCCTTTAATGTGACTTTATTGGTATTTCAGGAATTCTGGAGCTTGGAGTTCTCCAACATCTGATTTAAGTTGTTTTTTCCTCTTTCCTTTCCAGTGGAGGCCATAGTGGAGTTTGATTACCAGGCCCAGCACGACGATGAGCTGACGATCAGTGTGGGTGAGATCATCACCAACATCAGAAAGGAGGATGGAGGCTGGTGGGAGGGACAGATCAACGGCAGGAGAGGTTTGTTCCCTGACAACTTTGTAAGAGTGAGTACAAAGCCAAAGCCTTTTTTCCTGTCTCTTACATGGGCTCTGCTGACTAAAAACTGTGGGGGCATGAGGATAAATTGCATGGGACTGTCTCTTAGGGGCTTTGCAGACCTTCTAGGGGATACCAAGGACAGCATATGTAATATTGCCCTGGATATCTGTTTTAAAATGGCTTCTTGAGACTCAGAATGATCTCTTCCTAAACCTTAGAAAATGCTGGAAAAATCTATCACTTGTTAAATTGTTTGGTCTATGTACTTGTTTATTTGCTTTGTTATTAGTTTCAGTTCTATGCAAAATGGAATTGAAACTCAGTTTTGACCACTTGCATCAAGTAGCAATCAAGCTAAATGCAGAATCCAAATTATGTTGTTTCCACCTTTCTATTCACGTAGTTATGTTTTGGTAGGTGCAGTATTATTTTTCTTTTTGTTTACTCCCTATGGCCATGAAACATTTAATAAAAACCTATTTCTTCAATAAGATTCTGAAAATTATGCCTTTTGTAAAACTCAGGGTTTAATTACAAGATGTTTCTCATTTCTGTTAATAATTTACACATCTCAGTAGTTATAAACAATAGTTTGAATTGTTGGACTAAAAAGAGGTCACCTAGAAGCTGTTCTTCAAGGGAAATAACAGTGAGGTCTAAAAGACACAGTACCATAAACTTCTCGTCTGGTTTTAGAAAAGAATGGATGGCCCTTGGTTCGTAAGAGCATCAGACCTGCAGCTGAATTCTCTATGGTACCAGACCATATTTATGAGTGTGTTTTGGCTTGAGAAATCTTGGATCCAGAGAAGCAGGTGTCCCTTTCGAAGGAGCCTCAAGGACTAGATGGGAAGATTTTATAACAAGGGGATACTGATGGAAAAAAGAAAACCTGTGTGAAAAGTTGCAGACTTCCAGTCCTTGGGAATTTAAAAGGAATAGGAACCAAATTCAGTTTTTCCTCAGGATCTTGCCTAAGGGTGATCCCACTAACTATTTATTTATTTATTTATTTATTTAA